AAAAATTGCTTGTAAATAAAAATTAAGTTCAGTAAATGAACTTAATTGTTGTAGAAGTAGTAGATTCCTGCATTCTACTTATTAAATAAAAAAGTTTTCTCTTCTACTAATGAGCTCAAGATTAGAAGTAAAAGATGTTGTATAAGTTGTAGGATTATTTCGTACTACTTCATATTCATATAAATTATACATTTCAAACAAAATTATTAATTTATTCTTTTTTATTTATAATTTCAATATTTATATTTTCGCAATATGTTTCAAGTAAAATATCTAAATCATCTTACATAATCCTATGATATAATATTGTAGCTAAGCAATAAATAGGAGAAATGTTCTCCCAATATTTTTTAAATTTATTTTCCATTATTTCAACAATACATTTAAATTGTGTGGATTATTTCTATATTTCGAAAAACAATCATTAATCATCATTAATTGATAAGGTAAATTACAACTAGTTCGATAATAAATACATGATAATTCATTAGTTGCATCATAAAAATTGATGCTACGCAATCCAGGCACTCCTAGCTGGTTGCTGACTAGCTTCTATCTGGCAATGGACGACACCTGAGAAGAAGACGGTGAAGAATTCCTGGGGGACTTGCTCGGTGGGAATACTCCGATGCTTAAGTTAGAACGCTGGGGAAAATAGCAAAGAGTGTAAAAAGGCTAAGAGTGTAGGTCGCGCTAGATCACTGAGTGTTCAAGATTAGCTCGAGAGCAAGTAAGATGATTCAAGATCCAAAAATCAGATCAGATCAGATCCCCTTCCCTTTGAATAAGGGGCTCTTATATAGGCGTTCTTGTCAAATCGGGCATAACCACCACTGGGCTTCTGCCGCAGCCATTATCTGCCAGGGCTGCGCAGGTAACCGTTGCAGGGTACTACCCAATCGGGTGAGTGACACGTCCCAGGAGGACATGCATGCCACCATCTGTCGAGAGACGTGGGTGTAATTTGTTGAATTGGCAGGGACTGCGCCGTCATCCAGGACTAGGAGACATGGCGCAGTCTGACGGGTACGGTCTTATCAGATAGAAGCTTCTTGAAAGCATCGCGTCGCTTAGCTGCGAGCTACTTTGTAGCGAGTTATTTTGTCGCGAGCTACTTCGTAGCGAGCTCCTAGGGGTACTTCGAGGTGACCCTTCTCAAGATTGTCTTTGGGTCAGTTTTTCTGTCTAAGTGTTGGAGCGAGCTGGTTACCTTAGCTCGTGAGATGGGATAGTCTTGGAGTATTCCCTTTCAGTAGCTCGGGGGGACCTTGAGCTCGTGTTGTAGCAAGCTATGACGTAGCGAGCTGTCCTGCGGGCTCGTTACTTAGTCGCAGTCAGGCTATGGTGCTGAGCTGTTGTTCGTGTTGAGTTAGGTCCACGTGTCATCGTCTCAAGGGGTCGGGTCAAATCATCCTCCATCAAAAATATTTTAAAAAATTTCTTATACAAATTGTCATTTCCCAATCTTCATCGAATATAATATCATTAGGCATTTTTGCATTATAAAAATCGATAATAATTTGTTTATGAGAAATACAACTTTCTAACATAGCATAGGTAGAATTCCATATATGTTTAACATATAATATAAAATGTTTATATATTTAAACCATAATTTTGACATAGATATTTAAATTCTTGTTTTTTTGCCCCTGAACTTTTAATATATATAATACAATTTTTAATTTTAGAAACATGAGTAGAAATAATATTTAAAACATCTTGAATACATAAATTTAAGATGTGACATGCACATCTGATATGAAATAATTTACCATTTAAATATGGTTTTAATTGAGATTTTAAAATATTTATTGCATAATCGTTATTGCTAGCATTATCAATAATAGAAAATAATTTATTCTCAATTTTATAAGCATGTAAAAATTTAAAATGCTTGCATCAATAGCTATGGGAGTATGTGGCCATTCAAGCTTAGTAAAACTTAAAATTCTTTTATTTAAAAGCCAATTCTCATCAATAAAATGGCCCATAACACAAATGTAACTTATGTTAAATTTAGAAGTCGAAACATCAGAAGTAATTGCAACTTTAGAATTAAGATTTGGTAATAAATAAATTAAATTTTATTTATATGAATAAACAAATTTTAAAGCATCCGATCTAATAATATTTCTAGAAACTTTTTTATAGTGGATTTACAAAATTACGAAACCATTTTTCAAGTTTAGTATCTTCAACTAACAAAAATGGTTGTTTTGCATGTACAATGTATTTTGCTAATTCTTGTATCATTTTTTTTCTTGTGAATATTTAAATGTACTAAACCCCCCTCCCTATTTGTGTTTGTGTTGTTTCTCTCCCTTCTTCTTCTTCTTGTTCTTTCTCATGTGTAAGCAAATGTCTGATCAAATGGCTAGTACCACCCTTGCTACAATAGCTAAAGTATTTTCTACATTTTTGGCAAAGTACTATTTTTCCCTTCCCCTCAATATCCTCTACTTTTAATATTTTCTAAATCGGATTTCTCAACTTAACGACCCTCTTTTTCTTTCTCCTAGTATCACAGGGGTGAAAGTTCCATCAATATCAATAGCATCAGTGCTATCACTATCATGACGTGATTGAATATCGTCAATAGTGAACATGTTGGGGAATTGGTTTTGGAAAGAGTCAGCCATTTTTTTAATTATGAGAAAATGACAATTAATTTAATTGGACTTACCCAGATTGTCGGTTCAGAATCCCAACTTGATTTCAACGGTTAAAGCCTTTCAACGTTCAAGCCCTCAAATTGCTATTTTGAGCTGGTTGACCATGTCTTCCTTTTGTTGAAACTTAAATAAAGTTGAGAATTGGAGTATCAGATAATCAGCCAATTAGACTATCAGAGTTCACTCAAATTGCAAAGAATGTATGAGAGAGAGAGAGAGAGAAGAGAAGAGAAGAGAGAGAATTATTGAATTGGTGTGATACGAGAATGGTGGAGGATAGGGTTATTTATAGGAATTGAAAATAATCCAATTGCCCAAAATACCGTAAAAACTAGCTTTTTTTAGTTATTGGGAGGGGTATTTTGGTCATTGTAAAGTTATTTATAACTTTACCCAAAATTCCCCCTAAACTATTTGTTATATAGCTATTGGGAGGCATTTATGTCATTTTATTCTCCCCCATAAGCAAAATACATAAATACTCCCTATATAGCTTTTAGGGGTTATTTATGTAACCCCCCCCCCCTCCCAAAAAAAAAGTTGAAACTAGCCATTGGGAGGGGGGGTCCCCTATGGCTAGTTTTCAAACGGGCCAAGCGTGGCCTGCTATGGGCTGTGCTGGCATGTGGAGTTTGAACCCCAGGCCCAGCATGGCACGGACCATCATGCCGGGTCTAGCATAGCCCGTGGGCTATCGTGCCATGCTGTATCAGGACGGGCCACGGGTGGCACGTTCCGGTTTACCACATAGTACATTTAGAGTAAATTGCTTAAACCTGCCCTTAAGTTTTGGACTGTTATTAAAACCACTCTTGTAGCTTGTTAATTGCAATTAGCTCCTTTGAGCTTTTTGACATAATTGTAAATAAACCCTTAGAATTCTTTTGACAAGATGCATGAAAATGTCAAAATACACGATGCGGTTATTATTGAGGTTTGTTTATATAGCAAACACAAGATAAATTTTGTGAAAAAAAAAGAGTTTAACTTTCAAATTTACATTTGAGCGACTGATATGATTGGAAATTTTGAAAAACAAACCAATTTTAGAATAGCTATCGGAAGAATTTGGGGTAATAATTGATATGAAGAGAAAAATTGAAAAATAAATATATTGGTCAAAAATGATTGGATGGATATCTTGATCATTTTCATGCCTCTTATTATTAATAGAGAGGGTTTGCAATTGTAATTTACCCTTTTGGCTATGTTTGGAAGGAGTATTATAGAGTACAAAACCTTATATTTTGTATGCATTTATACTGTACATATTTATATTATAAATATTTGTATTCTTTCTAAACTGAGCCTAAATTATAATTTACCCTACCAATTTACCTAAATTTTACTGTGTACCGAAATTGGAATACCTTTACCGATCAATTTAAACCCACGCAACGAACGGAAACATCAAGGGGTTTTCGATCTGCCACCGCCTACCGAGTGGTTGGGTTAGGTCAGAAATTGTCACCGTTAATTGTGTTGGAGTTACGGCATTCAACAGAGTGGGTTGTCATTGACATAAAGTCCAGATCCACACCCGTATCCAATGGGTTCAAAATCCTCTTATAAAAGATCTTTATTTATAAACAAATCCGATCTGAATCCCAAAGCAAGGATCCAAATACAGGTTGGATGTTGGCAAACTTGTATATTTCTGTAGGTTGCCAACCCCAAACGAATATGAATTTAAAGAAACCCGCTCTAGGGTCTACACCTGCATCCAAATTCACCCCCAATTCATTTGGCTCAAATGCAAGGGAGCTAAACAAATCCGCTCCACATTCGACCCGTTTTACCCCGGTTAGATAACCTGAAAATTTAGGAGGAATGGACGAATGGAATGGTGAGATCAAATCAGCCCTCAGAAAATTGCCCTCATAACATTCCACAGAACATCCCCGCGTGTATTGAGAACATCTTGTGGGGGGCTGATTTGAACTCTGGAATGGTGCGTCGAGGAGGGGAGGGGGTTGGCCCACTGCCTTGCCGCTTCGCCTGCTCCCCACTCCCCTCCCGGTTCCCCAGTCAATCACCAGGATCTACGTCAGCATATGCTGGGTCCCATAAATCAACATTTTCATCGACGAAGTTTGCATATTGACCGTCGATCTCGTATACGCAGTGGAGTTGGCGACGGATATTTATCTTCACCACCATATTTGGAGCCACGGCAGCAACCGAGCAACCGTCGGTGATGTTGTGAATCCGGGCATCAGGGCATGTATACCAAGGACCACGGTTAATAAATAATGACCATGTTAATGCGAACGAGAGAGAGAGAGAGGATAGACGATTCCATAAACGTCCAAGCTGGGGCAAGCTCATGTACCAAAAAAAAAAATAAATAAAAAATATCGAAGCTCTTCGGGTTTTAAAAGCTAGCAGACATGCTCTGCAAGTCCTGCGCTTTTGCCTTGGTTGCGTCCTTTGGTTTTTTGGTTTAAACCTTGCTGTAGTTCTGGCGTGCTCTGATAAAGGGGGAGAGAGAGTGAAGGCCCTTAACCGGAGAGGAACAAGTCCTGAAAGAACGAGTTAATAAAGGGACAGACGGAAGGGAGAAATAGGAGGTAGTCCAAAGGTCTTCTTGTTCGACGAGGTTTTCTGCATCTCGATAGTTAAAGATTGATCGGTAATAGAATATAAATGATTTACAGAGAAAATAGAGTTTATTCTTCGACAGCTTGACAATTGCAGACGAATGAACCATTAGTATTATCACGGTCTTTTGGAGCTTTAATAGGGCACAAGTTTCAACGGCGAGATTTCTTATCGAAGTTTTGTGGAGAGGAGAAAATAGGAATTAAGAAGCTAAAATCTGCGAGAATCAATGACGGGATGATGGTTGAAACAAGATCCTGCACAAGTACCTCGGAGCGAGATCTTTGAGGCAAGCATATCCACCGAAGTAATTCACCACTGAGGCAAAATCTGCAACTAATTCTCGGACTACCAAAGTTTCCAAAGGTGTTTTGCAGTTCAACAGGGATATTCAAAGCAAAAGGTAAAGATAGTCGAGCTTATAAATAAAATCTGGTTGAATCCTTAAAAAGAAAAAAAATAAGGGAAGAGAGAGAGAGAGAGTCGCAACTTGAATGCTGATATCCACAGCAGTACCCAAGGCATTTAGGGTTTGAGTGTTTGACGCAAGGGGTTGAAACTTGAAAAACCTACGGCACCGGAGAAAACAAGAGTTTGGTAAGCGTTAACACCATGTCAACAAGGAGCTAAGTTTGAAATGGTCTCTGGTACTGATAGCATGCAAAGTGGTTACTTCCAATAGGAAGATCAAAGATTGTAGAGGAAGAAATAGAAAAAGAAAAGGATTGAATCAAGGTATGCAATTAATAATCTTCCTTTAATTGTTTTCGTTCTTCTATTTTACGGAAATGGCTTGTAATCCATCGGAAATGCAAGAACCGAGCATCGATACCGATAAGCTTAGTTATGAGATCTTCTCTATTCTGGAAAGTAATTTTCTCTTCGGCTACGACGATCAGAAACTCTGGATTCCCAAACAGATCGCTCCAGCCATAGAAACAAAATCCGAGACTACATCTCCGGCAACCACCGGTAACGGCGTGGGGGCGATCAAGAATCAGAGAGGTAAGGTCTGCATTCTTAGCATTGATGGCGGAGGAATGAGAGGGATCCTCTCAGGAAAAGCCCTTGCTTACCTAGAACAAGCTCTCAAGACCAAATCCGGAAATCCAGACGCAAGAATAGCAGATTATTTTGACGTTGCCGCTGGAACAGGCTTCGGAGGGATTTTCACGGCGATGCTCTTTGCCACTAAGGGCGATAACCGATCCATTTTCCGGGCGGAGGAGACGTGGAAGTTCTTAGCAGAACAGGGGAAGCGTTTTTATCGATCTTCCTCTGGTTCATTCTCCGGCGGGGGTTTTATACGGCGATTCTTCAAGGGTGGAGCCGGCGGTTCAACTAGTTCATCGACAGCCGGGCTAGAGAAGGCGATGAAGGAGGTGTTTACGGATAAAGGCCGCAGTCTAACGCTAAAAGACACACTGAAGCCCGTTTTGATACCTTGTTACGATCTCTCGAGCTCAGCTCCGTTTCTCTTCTCCAGAGCCGATGCGCTGGAGACGGACAGCTATGACTTCTGGCTCTGGGAGGTCTGTCGAGCAACGTCGGCCGAGCCGGCCATGTTCGAACCGGTGGCCATGCGATCAATTGACGGCCAGACTCGGTGCGTGGCGGTCGACGGTGGATTGGCGATGAGCAACCCGGCGGCGGCAGCGATAACCCACGTGTTACACAACAAGCATGAGTTCCCGTTCGTGCGAGGAGTGGAGGACTTGATGGTGTTGTCTCTGGGGTGTGGTCAACTTCTGGAGGGCAGCTACGAGTACGAGCAGGTCAAAGGGTGGAAAGGAAAGGAGTGGGCGCGACCAATTACTCGAATTGCCGGCGACGGTGCCGCCGATTTGGTTGACCACGCCGTGGCGATGGCATTCGGCCAGAGCCGTAGCAGCAATTACGTTCGTATACAGGTATGCGTATTTCTGTGATCAAAACGATCTACACGGGAGTCTAACGTTCGCCGTTTCGGTGAATGCTTTATCTCTTGGTTATTAATTTCTTTTTCTCATTTTGGTTTCGCTTTTTAGTTCCAGTGGGACGAAACCGGGTTGCCGGCCGTTGTCTAACCTGCGCTATATCGTTTTTACTGCAATTAACCTGCGCATCCCGCGTGGTATCCCTGTTACGTCTGCCTCAGTTTTAGGGAATTGGGGAGTTATTGTTGATAGAGTCGTGAATGTGCCAGGAGTGTTGTGCTGATAGAATCGGGAAAATGGATTTTGTTGTATACTTTGTACAGCGGGGCATTTCCAGCCATATATGGCCTTCTGCAGATTGCAGGGGACAATACTCAATAGGTCAAAGTTAACACCTGACCTTACATTAGCGTATTTCTATTGGTCCACGCCCAGGGCGATGAATTCCACGTGATAGTTTGGCAAAGGGTTTAGCCGGAATATCTTTCCTTATTTTTGTTTCCGGTTTTCTAGTTTCTATTAATTGTTACATTTGTTTGCTTTCTAGCAGGAGAGCCTGAAACCATTAATGTTGTTTTCCCTTCTTTTTATACGAGAAGACGAGAAGGGAAAGGCATTTTCCGTTATTCGTAGGGTTTAGGGAAGAACAGACGACGATGGGTGACTGTTTAGTAGCTAACAAAACTACAAAAGAGCCAAAGAGGACGAAAACGCGGTTTCACTGGTGCCATTAATGGTGTATAATGTTCATTTTCTGGTTTTGCCATTTTCCGTAGTATTTGTGTCCAATTACTTTTTCTTTTTCTATTTTTTACTTCTGGTATAGTATGCCCCTCCCCTTGTTCTTCTTGGCTTTAACTTTTTAGGCAGAGCTGTAAATGAGAGGGGAGGGGATTTCCCTCCGGCTGAAAGGGAACAAAGTAGGTAGTTCGAGCTATGGTGGTGGTTCTTTGTTCATTCCAAGTTACCGACAAAAAGGGGACATCGTTTTTTCACTTCACTCTACACTCTTCATAGTCTTCACCTTTTCTGTCAAATGTGTCGTTAAAATACTTATATCGCGAACTGTGACTCAGTTGAGCATTACCCGCCCGATTAGTTTCGGTTTCAAACCCGTATCCTGTACCACGAGGTTGTTGAGATTGATTACAGGAGATTGCATCAGTAATGCAACTTCAAAAGTTGATGGTATGAACCCATTTTTTTCTTCTTGGATTTCATAACTTGTTCGTTATTGTTGCATAACAGGCAAATGGATCGAGTTTGGGTCCTTTTGGGGCAAATGTGGATTCTGACTCAAGTCCCAGCAATGTGAAGATGCTAATCGGAGTGGCAGAAGAGATGCTTAAACAGAAGAATGTTGAGTCGATTCTTTTTGGCGGAAAGAGAATCGGGGAGCAAAGCAATTTCGAGAAACTAGATTGGTTTGCTGGAGAACTCGTGCTGGAGCATCAGAGGAGGAGTTGCAGAATAGCTCCCACTGTGGCATTCAAACAAGTTACACCAAAACCCACCTAAAATAAACTAGGTAAGCATGTCCTCGTTTATTTATTTATTTTTAATTCTGTAATCATATATAATAATTTATTTGATTCTTTGACGAATGTATCTTAGAAGAGCACAAACTTTTATTTATTAAAATTCCCCTTAATTTTATAAATAATAAAATTCGTTTAGAGAGAGAGAGAGGATTCAGGAAAGGTCACAATCACAGGGGAAGATGTTTGCACAAATATTTCATGTTATTTCTCTACATCGCGGGATACTTCCGTCATTTTATTCAGGGTGCAAACAACCGGTTGTTGCAGGGAACCTGTGAAGCTGGGGCTGGAAATTCCTGATGCTGTCGGCCTACCGACAGGGCTTATCAGGAAAGAGTGGGGATTATTTAGTCATTTAACGATAGGAATAGAGAGTAGGGTGGGGCTTATCAGGAAAGGGTGGGGATTATTTAGGCATTTAATAAATAATGTTTATATAAAAGCGAACAGAGATCATGATGGTGCATTGCCTACCCAAAGGCTACTGCCCTGACCCTGAGAGTAATAGAGAGATTGAGGCATTATGTTTTGTGACTTGTTCATGGTCGGGATTTTAGGCAATAACATACCCCACCCTCAAAAGAGCCCTATGATCATTGTTCCATTTGACTCCTGTGTTAGTTCTTTTCAAATAAAATCTCGGCCTACGAGACACACACCCATACAAGGGAGTGCGTGTGCGTCCTTGCCTCCTCGGTTCACAAATCCGCTACTCAATAGTCAATACTCATTCAGTGCGTCTGCGTCCTTGTGTTCGGTTTTCTATCTTTTTGCTTTGTTGCTCCTATGTTTGTTTAACGGAATTTTCTTTGACAAAAAAAAAAAAAAATCAGTGGATTCATCCTTTTGGGAAAAATTGCCTCCGTCTTTTCTTCTATTGAGTTGCTGCAAATTCAGTCTTTTGTCCCAAAAGAGTTATTACAGTTTACATATAATATATAGATGTATTTTCCCTTCTTGATCTTTAGTTGTTGGCAATTTGCTATGGAAAAAGCAAGATTGTTTTTGTCATTTCACGTAAGAACCAAATGCAGTGAATGATGAGTGATTATTTACTCCGTACACTCCCAAGCCCCTCCAAGCACGTGCTGTCCTCAGTAGTAACTGGGTAAAAGCAGAGAAACTTAAAACTATAATGGCAGTGTTAAAGAAGTAAAACTATTTGTTTAGATGCTATTTTTAAAATAAAATATCCATCTATTTTGTTTTCTCAATGATTTTCACCCAATATATTTTGTTCTTTGATACGCAGGTGAAAAAAAAAAGAAAAAGAAAAGAAATATAACAGCTTTTACTTTAACGAGGGAGAAGGGGAGAAAAGAGGAGGACAAGAAGTCGGGGGAATTGAGATTTGAAAGAGCACTTGGTTAAAAGAAAAGGTAGGAGATCTCGTTGGGATTTTTTGCCTGCTAGAGGACCGGCAATTGTGGTGTCCACAGTCCACTCTACCTTTGGGACTTTCCGTGCTCTCTCTCTCTCTCTCTCTCTCTCTTTCTCTCTCTCTCACTCGGTTTTCTTCATTCTTCTTTGGGCTTTGTAGTCAAATTAAATGAGGTTTGCCTTCAAGTGGGATTTAAGGGCAACCTGTTCCTTGCGACCCATACCTACTCTTTCATGTCTTTTTTCTTTCATCCTATCCTTTACCTTTTCACGTCATTATGTCCAAAAACTTGAATGTGGGCACTGTGGGGTACTTAAGTTTTCAAAGAAACAGGAAGAAAAGAAAAGAAAAGAAAAGAAAATACGTATCCCACAAGCCCCAAAATTTTCTTTGGTTGGTGGGTATTTTTTCTTCAATACAATATTTGTATTTTGTAGCGGTGGAGAAGGAATAGAGTCTGGGATCTTTTTCAGCAGGCAACCATATCTTGATTAGAGGTGTTGATGGATGTTTGATGTACGAAGCTTTTCAGGGGATGGGGCCAACATTGGAGGTGAGGCGAACCCTTTTCATTTAGCCTTTATCAAGCCTTTAACGGGCCCTATGCAATTTATTAGTTTCTCACATGTTCATCATCTTATGATTGCTCAAGAAGGAAACCCTCTTTCTCTCTCTCTCTCACATTCCTTAGGAATCTCCTACAGAACTTCTTCTTGTGCTTCTCTCTCCAACACATACAATGACAAACGTACCGCCTTCTTTTTATTGTGCTTGCAAATTGGGTAATTGACAGTGGGTCGCTGTGAAATTAATGGAATCCGTGCGTACCATGCCATAGTTATAAAATTCAACTTGAACTTTGTACCAAACAAAAAAAAGAAAAATCAACTTGAACTAGTTTGGGTATTTTGTGTTGATTCGGTAAAATTAACTCTCAATAATTTGTTTTTTCTCAAACAATGCTTTGTGAGATTTTGTCCATAGGAGCTGCAGTACCGATAGCTGGGAGAGTAAATTAAAGTCTACCAATTCACTCAGGTCAAATGAGTCAATTAATAATAAAATTAGATGTGATAAAATTTATTTTTATTGATAATAAAAAATATATTATAATACAAAAAGAAAAAAACAATATTATATTTGACACCAGACCCACTGACTGGACCAAACGGACCATGATTCAACGGGCTGGATCGCCAAATTATTGACTGAGTCGACAGTTTGTTGTAGACGCTGCCACGCTGGTGTTTTCAGCATAATATTGCCAAAGAGAAAAAATTTGGTGTCTTCATACCAACAACCTGTTTTAATTTGCCAGCCCTTCCAGAAATTCTTTTCAATTTTGGGCATTTAATATTGAAAAACTATTGTCAAGTGGAAGTTATGTTGTATTATTGTCACTGGACGGTGCAATATAAATGGATCGTTTAATCCGGATACACCCATCAAATGGAGGGTGTATTATGTCAAATTCCACGTGGTTTCCCTTTTGTGGTTTGACTGAGGAATTCCATTTATCTCCCATCACTTCAATCCATTCATTATTCACCAACCGTTTATAGTTCCAACGGTCATATTTCATCTCTGTTGGGGCTTCGATTCCCCCACAAGGGAAATGGGTATGAGCAGGAACAGTCTTTAATTTTTAATCAAATAATAAATGTCCAAAAGATTTTACTTTTCCTTTTCTTTTTTTCCAAAAGCTCAAGATTTTATTTAACTCTCAAGAAAGCTTTGACAAATGAATATTAAATTGCAAATGACTAATTTATGTCATTTTAATTCGTAAATACCAACAAAATATAAGGATTTTTTTCCTTGTAAAGAAGTATTAGAAACTCGTACACGAAAACAATTGAATAAAATTCCCATTGATCTTTTATATAGATTCTAGAGAATTCATATTACTAATGAGTTTAATATTGTAGTTGGTTAAATTATTCAAATGGTATGATTATTCTTCAAAACGAGGCAAAAATTCAATTTTGCTTTTCTTTTCTATTTTTTTTTTTTTTTTCTTTCTTGGGTAAGGCTGAGAAAAGTATCTACAAGTCACCAAACATCGCCAGCTACAGTACCTAACTCCTCCTTAAGTAGATCTTCCTCTAATGTTCAGCCGGTGTCCAGCTAGCGAAATTTTGTATAGATACCCTGTGTATATTTTGAAAGAAAAGACGGGGAAATCTCTACAAGGTAGTGATTCTTTTAAAGTGGTTTATTAAAATGTTTAATAATTCAGTTACCCTGTATATAGTTTGAAAGAAATAGTAAAAGTAAAATAGCCTACACATGGTAGTGATTCTTTTAAACTAAGGCTGTGTTTGGTTGCAGTGCAATTTTATTTGTACTAATAGAAATACATGAGAGTGCAAATGAAAAAAAAATGTAAAAATTGGTTTAATTTTGTTTTGGATTTTACTTGATTCTTCTTTAGGTCTTATTTTCACCCAAAACATTTGCACTGCCATAGTTTTGCATTGCACAAATAAATTTACACTGCAACCAAACATAGCCTAACAGATTAACCATAATCGATGCTTAGTGGCTCCTTAATTATGACTAAAGATGATTAATGAAAATGACTAGTATTAATTCCTTCTAATGCTAAAATTTCAATTCTAAGGACTACTTAATCTAGGATAAAAGTTAAAAATTGGGTCAGAAATCAGAATGTTACGAGATGGCTATGGCAACATTTGTGATTAGACATCCAAAGCAGAAAGAAAGACAGGTTACAAATCTAAAATATCCTTATTAAGAGGTTTCCTTCCTATAATTAGAACTTTAGAAGTACTACATATACAGAACACAAGGAGCCCAAATTCCTAATCTAGACTTGATTCCTCATCAGTCATCGGTCATCAAGTGGGTTTGTGAATGTGAGGGCTTTCTACTAATTAATTAGTTAGATAAACCTTTTTATGCTAATGATGTAAATATTCTTCTTGTTTCACATCAACAAACCTTTCCGTGTTCCAACTTGCTATTAGGATGACTCCTCCCTTTCATCACTTAATATTCTGTTAACTTTTATAACACAAACGTTCCTTTCACTCCTTGTATAATAATCTGTCTGATTCTTATGGGCATTTCCAATCTTTGTTGTGGCCTTGCCTCTTCCTGACTGAAAAATTTGAAAAAAAGGATATCCAAGAAAGTTGAGGACAAAAAAGTGGTTTGAATTTTTCCCATCTAAACAAAGAAGGAAGTGCACTCGGAGAGCCTAATCAACGAAGGGAACCCTCTAATGTCTTTTCATTATTCTAGATGGTGCTTTGGATAATGGGAAGTTTGACAACTACTGCTCCCATCTAGCCTTTTCTGCCTATATTCTACATGCGCGTTGCGCCCATTGTTATCTTTCTTTTGTTTATTATTAGCTTAGCTACCTACCATCTTAAGGAATCTCAATCTCCCTTGTCTCATCTTTTCCTTCTTTAATTATTATATCCTTATAATTGTTTTAATTAGAAATTGCTGAATCTTTTAGACCCGGACCATTAGCTAATTACAATATGGGATTCTTCATTATTGAGAGAAGGTCTAACAAAATCCCACCTTCCATTCCAATACACAATGTTCTGTCGTGATGTATAGTATTGATGCTTGGGTTTCTTTCCTCCTAATTTAATATATAACTAGATATAGATTATATGATTACAAGAATTCTTCATTAATAGAGTTTGTTTGTTAATATAAATTCAAACTCAGAGTGCCAAAACACTACTAAATAAATAAAATCAGAATAGGGTCAATGGTCTTACTCTAGGGCTGTAGGGCCCACATTTGATGAATGATAATTAGTGCTAATTGATAATGGGATAAGTCCTAACTCCTAACTCACAACTGTAGCTAAAAAGCCTAAAACAGGTTTCTGAGAGGAGAGTCATGATATGATTGAAATGACTTTTCTTTATTTATAGTTATTGGGTAAGCTTCTGAATAAATCAACCAATGGGAATACTCCACATGAAAACATCAACATCTCAATTATAGAAAGTAAACCCTACGCCCCTCCTCCCTTCCCCAACCACCAAAAATAAAAAATAAAAAAAAAAGAAAAAGAAAAAGAAAGAAAAACTGTTTGTCTTGTCTCATCAATCAATGTGAACCAACTTACCTCTTATTCAAGAGAATCTAAAAGATACATTGTATGTATGTTGAGTGCCTCTTGACCATCGGATCCTTTATTGCTTTTCTACCAAATTGTATTTATATTTGGGGTATTGCATTATATTTTAAGCAATTCAATATAAAGTGACTAGATGGGTTGTTAAATAAAATAATACTGCAAAATCAATTGGCTGCATGAATTAGCACCAAAGGAATCATATCGTTTTCAAACTCACAGGTTGAATGGATAAACATGGAGTTCCAACATGAATACACACCTGACGAGACTAATTAAATTTGACAGCAGGGCTTGCATTAGTTGTTCAAAACAGGCAAAATTGAACTACCATGCATGTCTTATTCTGCTTATTATTGTAACTTGATGAGGAATGTGCTTTGTCTTAACATAATCCTTCAGAATTAAGACGGGATATTAACAATTAAATCGATCATTAACCGGTTGTTAAGGAAATAGTTAAGTAGTGATGAAGAATATTTGCATACTAATGTTATAGATAAATTGAAATAAAATTCATTGGTTTAAAATGTTTAAAGATTCGTGCTCCTTACAAGCTTTGCTTTTTTTTTTCTTCCTTTTTCAATTTTTTATCTTTTGATCAGATAGTCTCAGTGATGTGTAGTCAACATAAATAGATATCTCTGTTGACCCTTTGCAGTTTGCACTATGGAAAGTGTAGCAAATCTTTCTCTCTGTCTCTCTCTCTCTCTCTTTTGTAAATAAAAGTTTTTTTTTTATTTTTATTTTTATGGTAGATATTTACGTTTATAGCAAAACTGTAGCACATATATATATATATATATATATATATAGAAGAATCATTTTCTGCACAAATAAATGAGGTGATACTTGGGCTGTGTTTGGTTTGAAAGAAAAGATAGGGGTTTGTTTGAGGCGAATCAACCAAACACAGCCTTAATGTCAAATAGCAGAATTTGTGGAGGAGAATCAACTATCAATTTTTGGATGGCCAAAAGGCCCAAAACTATAATGAATTAGTAAAACCATATTTACTATCAAATTGTGCGATGCTGCTTTTTTGTATGAGGTAATTAGAAGAAATCTTGAGTGAAAGAGGAATTAATGAATTAACTAACCTTTGCACAGAATGTTGAGGAATTAATGAATCAACCAAACACAGCCTGTTTGTTATTGCTGTTAGAAGGGGAAAATACAAGAAAATAATGTTTTTCTCCATACTTTGTGTTTATGAACGGGTTCTTCAAGCAGGCATATGCTCGCCTTGGTATGGCAAAGGGGAAAATTT